TTTTCCGTGAATTGGCTAAAATATCGCGTCGTGAAGGTATACCAAGCAAACGTCGACCTAGCTTCCGGTGGTCTACAGAACAGGTCCTGGCAGCAGCTGGAGCACGTAAATTTGGGTCTTTTTGCATAGCTTGGATAGCTAAGACTAACCGGCTTTCGTCATTTTTCAGAGGCATCCTTCGTTGTAGAGAAATTTAATATTTCGTGGAGGTGTGGTGGGGTCGCCGGGTTTTGGCCGGTTCGCTTGTTTGGCCGGTTCGTTATACATGCACGTTATACTTAGTTACTGATTGTTTTAATTAATTATTAATTACTACCTAGGTATAGTTATTTGTAAATAATAGTAGACTAGTAGGTAGGTAGTATCTGGAGATATTCAAAAAGTTTAAGATCTAAATATTTTAACCTTACTTCTATATATTTTAGACCATATTAAATGTAACTTATAACTTATCACTAATATAAATTTAATAATCCGAAAAACAGTTTCATTACCAAATTTGTCTATACAAACAGCTTTATCTAGGACCCCGGAAGAAGTTATCAACTGAGAGTTTTCTGATGCACAGAGTAGAGATACATGCTGCAGGAAGCCATTTGAAATCCAATTCTGGTTCTAAGAAGATGCAGAAGAGGCTTCGGTATGATGGCTAGCACAGAGATGGCGTTAGAATTTCCCCCCTGGTCAAGCTAGATATGATATGAAGAGAGGAGTTGGAGTTACTATACCCTCATTCCAATACTTATCCATTCTCATCCTTACTGAAACTTTCGAAGGTGGCTCAAGGCGGACTTTCTCTTTCTTCCAAGAACTATTCTTGCGTCGAGAGGTCTTCTCGCAGATGGTTTCCTTCGGTTCCGTTTGCGGTGTACACGACGTACCCTATAGCAGACTTGCAGATTCAATTCCGTTATAGATCCGGTAGTCGCCGTCTGTTTCTGCCTATCTCACTCGGAGCATTTTCTACCTTTGGGATTGAGACTGAGCCGTCTCGGTGGTGACGACTTTTACAAATCCGCGAGAGTGGATTCGGAAAGAATTACAAACTTTCTCCGTACACCGTATGTCACAAGTGAGATTGGCGTAAGGCGACTCTTACATTGTTTGGTTTCATATTTTTGCGAGGGTTGGACAGAGTGGGGAGGTTTGGTGAAGTTGATGAATCCTGAATCCGTTTGGTGTCACGAGTTTACGTTGGATAGCCTAGTGATGTGGGCGTATACTCCATCGCATTAGAATAGAGACTATGATTGGAAATATTGAGAGGATTCAGGACGGATATGGAATAGTTCTGTTGGTTTAGGATTTGGGTGAGGCTTGATCAGGTGACATGACTGAGATGACATTTGCCAAAATATTACGTGAGAATACTGAAGGCTTCTGCAAAAGACTGTGCTCTGTTGTACTTCCCTCTTGTAGTCTGTGTCAATGGCAATGATCCACAAAAACAGCTTGGTAAAAAAAAAGGGTTTGTAAGGTGCTCACATGACCCAGCACATTTCTGCATCACGTCTTTCAAACACTAAGTTCTTTAAAGAGGGGTCACTAATAACAAACACCCTTGTAACCTTGGGCAATCTGTTTTCAGTGTTTTTGAGGAGATATGAAGAAGAAAGTTGGGACCAGTAGAGCGCTTGAGAATCACGTGATGATATTTACTTTGAATCCCTCAGGCCAACAACCACAGGGCTTGAATGACCGAAAAGCACAGAAGGGAACGTTACCACATGCTCAGGTGATGTTCACTTCCTTGTGAACCTTCTCAATAGAAGTGAACATCCTCACAGAAAACATGAAACGACGTTGACATCGCCTTAGATTACACCAGTAAGCTTAATCCTTCGGGATTAACCCCAAGTCAAACTGGATCCTGAAATGCTCGTTCAATCTCATGTAATCACAACCCATTGAGATGATTGGAGAGAAAAGTGGGGCCATCACAGCAATGGATCTGCTCAAGCATATGCGTAGATCGTGAGCAGCGAGCATTCAATCTTCCTCACGGACCTCACCGGCCGCCAAAATAGAATCTTCCCAATCGAGACGCAATGGATCTGACAGGATTTTTAGAAAAACGTATACGTATTTTTCGATTACTCAATCATAGTCGCAGAAATGTATTCAAATAGTAGCTGTTTCTTCTGCTTTCGAAGAGTATCATTCATTCACATCAACTCATTCTCTTCTCACTTCAAACAACAACAGGTTTTCAGGATCCTACAATTATCCTTATTCATTCCTTTAAGCTTATTTCCATTCTTGTGCCAAATTCAAAATGCTGGCTATCAATATCCTCTCCACTGTCGCCGTGTTGGCTTCTTACGTCTCAGCGGCTGCTCTCCCGCTTGATACCCGCGCTACTCTTGCCAGCGGAACCAACGCCGGTTCTATCTTCCGCTTTGGTGATGCGGCTGCTGCCAAGGCCCTTTTCTGGCAATCCGGTTCTTGTGGATTAAGCACTTATTTCCCGAACACCAAGTATGTCCTCCCCCATTTCTCACAATCATCGATCACTTTTGAACACACATCACCCTAACAGCCATCTAGCAAAAACCTCCCACTCGTGGCCATGACCAGCACCGTTATGAGCAAGTTTGGTGCTTCCCAACACAACACCCTCTGCGGAAAGACTATCACCATGACCTACAAGGGTGTCACTCAGAAGGCTATCATCGCTGATACCAATGTCAGCGTTGATAACTCCATTGATATGACTTCTGATGTCTGGATCAAGTTCGGTGGACATGATGGCGATGGAACTCTCCTCAAGTCTTTGACTTGGTCTATTTCTAGCTAGAGGGTTTGTTTTGTACTGTAGGTATAGAGGCTTAGGGGGTAGAGCTGGGAAGCTGGAGAGGTTCAGCTTGTTTGCTTTTTTGGGCTTCTTGTGCTTGCTTTGTTTTGGGAGTAGTGAGCGAGCATTGATGGGGGTTTAGAAATGATGTAGTTTGGGTTTCGTTTGCTGTATTATTGCATTTATTGGTGCTGGGAGAAATTTGGAATAGACTTTGAACTTTTAAAGTTTATATGATACGGAATTGATATTAGTTCAATTCATTCATATTTTTTCAGTGAAAGTGAAAATCTTTCGAATTTCGACCCCTTAGCCGAGTTCAACGTTCTAAGTCAGTTGAATTGAGTTGAGCAGTGGCACCTACTCAACTTGACCTGCTTAGCGATAATGGCTATTTAACTTAACTCGCTAAGTAATGAAGTTGAGTTGAGTACGAATTGAGTAGTGAGGATTTAGCCGGCCCTTATCAATGTAACACATGCGATAGAATAACCGAGTGTTTGAGAGTCAGATATCCGGCGCCACGTGCTTCTAGCCAGCGGTTATTTAGGTTGGGGCTAATATTTTCTCATGGAACAATAAGAGACTCTTACTATAAAACAGAACCTTATGGCAATAATAAGCTTGAAAAGCCAGGGGATAATTATAGACAAGGACAAGGAAATGCCACTAAAACGTGTCGCATTTAAGGACAATCATCTTGTACAGAGTACTACTCGAGTAGTGAAGTCCACTAGTTAACTCAACTCAGCTTTAAGTAACTTGGAGTAGTTCTCGAATTGTTGAGTTGTTTGTATGAGTGCTGGCCGAATTAAGTTCTCTCTCTCTCAAGAAATGCTTCATTTGTTAGCAAGAATGTTGAAACAAAGGCATTTGCTGTTTATTCATCCATCACTTATGGTGACCCTCATAATACTAGCCCAGTTCAACTTTTCCGAATATCTATATGCTAGAGCAGACACAAGGAGTTACATGATCACAGATACAAAGCGAAAAACGCACAGATCCGGGTTACAGCAATAATAAATCCAGGTTCATACTTCGGCTGTGATTGAATATTACATTTACATTTTAATTCTCAGAGTTCTCACTTACTCCGTCACACGACAACTTCCACTCTTTCGAGTTTGAGCGGACAATCGTTTTTTCAATAATAGCTTACCTGAACCTTTTCCTATATACATATGAACCAGCTTTTATACGGGTGTGCGATTTGTACCGGTGCGAATCTGCGATTTCAATCTGATTGATTCTATTAATATATTGATTTTGTTATTATGAAAGGCAAATTATATCCTTCCACCTTTTGAGAATCAATAAAAGAGTGTGTATCTTAAAAGTACTTTTGCTCCAACTCGAAGGTACGCCTAAAACCTTCATGAGAACTTCATTGGAATCTTAGAATATATATAGCAGACGATAATCGTAGTCGTTTCCTACACATGCAATATGTCAACTTTTATGGTATAGCCAACGGATCTGATATTCCGGTTTCTGGGCTGAGATAATCTGTATTATCTCCGACGACCCTGTTCTGGCCTATGACTTTTGTTCAAAATATAGGATCTACCGCTTTCCACAGCCGGTGATCATTTCTTCCAATTCGAAAACGGAACCTTGCATCACGGCATTGGGGAAAAAGTCCACTAGACTCTTGCTACAAATACCCAGTTCCACCTTTTACAAACTTCTAGAATTCCTATGAACTGTAACTTAACCATGGCGGAGCAGGGCGATTTGCCTTAAAGACGGATTTTGGATACGTTCTAGGAAAGAATCTTGAAAGTTCTCCAATTACAAAAACAATATTTAATTTTAAAGAACAAGAGCTACTCGAAATATATTGTTTAACTACCTGTAAAGAGGTCACGATATCTCCTGGACCGCCCGGGGGTTTTTAGACAAGGAACGAGCACCATTGCGTAGAATACCGAGTAATATATAAATTAAGCTCCACTCTAGCCTCTTAGTAATACTAAGCTATTAGATTATACTAAATTTAGGTAGGCCGAGGAAGGTTATAATTTCTTATTAAACTACGATATTTTACTTAAATCTATTACAATAACTATAAAACAAGTAACTTATATATTATTATATTATATTATCTACAAATCTCTTACTTAGACCTAAATCTTCTTAAATAACTAATAGAGTACTACAGTTTTTATAGCTAGGGTTTTAACTTTAATTAATTTAGATTTAGTAGAAGAAGTAGTAATAGTATTTTATTAAATAGCTCTTTATATAACTACCTCCTCATTCATCCCATCTAACCCAGCCACTTGATGTTGGGTGCTATAGTGTGTTAAAACGAGCGTATGGTCGGCAGATTGAGACGTTTATCAAGGCCCATATCAACCATATTACAAAGGTTGAGTTCTTTCTAGCCTTTACAGCAGCATACAAGGAAACAATGACAGTCCTAAACTGTCAGTCTGGATTCCGCGGAGCTGGCCTAGTACCATTTAACCCGCAAGCAGTGCTTTCAAAGCTTGACGTAAGGTTACGGACTCCAACTCCCCCTCGGACGTGTAGTGCCAACTCCCTCCCCTGGGTGTCCCAGACCCCTTCCAACCCAACTGAAGCCCTTTCACAATCAACTCTTGTACGAAATCGTATAGCCTGTCATCAAGGAAGCTCGCCAACTCCACTTTTTCAAACAGTTGCTGCGTTAGCAAAGGGTACAGAGCGAATGGCACATGAGATGACCCTTTTGTCTGCTGAGGTCCGTACCCTTCGCGCTGCAAATGAAGCCCTAAGTAAACGCCGTAGGGCTAAAAAGACTCGTGTCCGCCAAGGAGGGGCACTTATAGTAGAGGATGTACAGGATATGTTAGCTCAGGAGGATGTAGATGAGCAAGTACGACGCGACATGCGTGAGGCGGGGGTTGGTTATAAGGAGGGGCAACCTTCTAGGCGGCGCTGTAGAACTTGTGGAAAAGCTGGTCATAACGCGCGAACTTGTCAAGAAGTTATAGATATATCTAGTTCGTCAGATATAGAGAGCGATAATTAATTTAATATATTGTGGTTGATTTATTTAGGTGTAAAGTTCTGTGCCAAGAAAAAGTGATCGACTCGGTGATATGATCGACTCGCTGATAAACCACGTTATATAAGTTATTTTATTTTTAATATAGGTAATTCTTATATCTTAAATAGATTAAAACCCCTAATTATAATTAGAGTTATAACGTTATTTAAGCTAGTATAGTTAGTTACGAATTAAGCTTAATTTTTCGGGATTTTCTATAATCCGTGCTTTTTGTTACGGAGTTGGAGGAATTGGGGGCAGATCACGTGTAGCAGCACGGCACGTGCGTGCTGCTGGCAGCCTGTATATAAGCTTCTGTTCCTCTGGAACTCTCTTCCTTCCTCACTTAGTTGTTCGCTCTATATAGCAGTTTCCGTTTGACTCCGTACTCATCACAGCAAGCAGTGGTTCACTCCACACGGTCACACTTTTTTAGTAGCCTAACTACTAAAAAAGAACGCTAGCGCGAAATCTTGTAAAATTATTAATTTATAAACTACTATTAAAAGATATATATCCTATTTATATCACTTAAAGTTTAAATTAATTATAGCCCCTTAAATTAAAGCTATTTAATAATCTATTATAAAATCCGCTATTTATTAATATTACCCCTATTCTAAGAAGCTCGATTACAACGCTATTACCTTCTACTGTTAAATATTGTTATATATCTATTCGTAATATTAAAGCCGAGATAGACAGATACAACCTTTTTTCGAGATCAAATTTTTTGTTCTAAATCACTTGCTCTCACTTGCTTGTACTAAACAAGCCGATTACCCTCCATGGAGACCCCTCTAAGGAGGCCTCCGGCCTTACTGTCGCCTCTGAAAAGAGGTCCGGATAGGGGAGGAGCACGCCCAATTCCCCCCCTCCCGAATATACAACAACACTTCGTCCTAGCAACTGCCAAAGCCCTTGAACGTAGTTCTTTAGGCCAAACCTTCTTCGGAGGAACCGCAGAAGCTGTAGATTGCCACCTAAGCACTGTACTCGACAAAGCCCCCCCC